CAGCCCCTAAAAATGTTGCCCAATGCCCCCTTGGTACTCTTCTTAAAGTTCATTGGCTTCTGCCAGTGTGGTAACAATGCACATATTTAATACTGATGCTGAAATTTCTAATGATGTCTACCATGTCAATACTGTCATATATTCCTATATCATGAGATTACTTCAGATGATGCTTTTATAGGTCTGTAGTTTTCATGAGGATGTCTAGCTTCTTCACCAAGCAGTTCTTCTAGATTCTTGTGGAATGTTGGAGTCAAGAGATCCATGAAGCCATGAAAAAAAAAGACCATTACTGATATCCCTACTAGTTTGTCATATGTATCTAAACATCGGAGGTTTAGTGAACAGAAGTCTATTCCTGCAAAACAAGTTGAATGGAAAAGGTAATTGCTACTGCCTCGTTTCCTGGTGACCTTCTGCATTATTAGGTTTAATCTCTGCCCTTCTCTTCCAATGTACAGTACATCAGAAACTGTTCAACTAGAGGGAGACATAGCACAATCTTGTTGCGTAAAAGGTACCCAGATCATTAAAATAAACCTGCAGAACCAGTCTGGGTTGTGCTGAAAGGGGTAGCTCAAAAGGACCTCAATACTATGCATATTCAAGAGATTGTAAGAGTTCTTTTAGTCTAAAATCTGCCTTAAACCGAATCTCCATGTCAGATATGAACCATTCCACATTACATAGCAATTTACCCCTCCCTCATTGACTGGGCTCATATGACACATAGAATGACATGCTAGCCAATTACATTATGGTCTGTGTGGTGAGCTCCCAGATTACATGGTTAGTTTATGGTTCAATGTGTCATGAAAATCAAGAAAATTGGACTCAGTAAACTATGATTAAGTGAACCATGAATAAATATGCTGTGCGATGACAGCCACAGAAACTAAATTACATCGTGCCCCTATTGTATTTAAGTGGGAGGAACAGACCCGTCCATCATCTTATTTCATCACCTTGTGCATATATCCAGGGGTTTTGATCAGCATAAATTGGGGAGAGGGTCCCTTTAAAGTGAGAATTAACCTCTTGAGATATGACTGGGAAAGATGTGAAAAATAGATTTTTTTATTTATCTTATTATATTTTCTGTATTGGTTTTATATAAAGATAAATTCATCAGCAATAATTGCAACATATTAATTTCACAACAATAAAATCAGGAATTGTTTAGAAACAGTAAAATAATTTTAAAATGCCTATTTCCTCTTTTCAGGTCCATAATAGGGGTGCTAATGGGAAAGAATTCCACTAATGGGGTGACACCACTGAAAAGACCCCCTCTATTCTGGCTGTTCATCTTCTCTCCTTTCATTTGAAGAAGAAGAAAAAAAAACCTCAGAGGAAAACCTTAGGATTTATGTAGGTAAATAAGGGAAGAGATGTTTCTTCAGGTGAGCTGGATCCTAGTTATTTAGGACTTTGCAAATTAAAATTCACACTCTGAATTGGGCCTGCAGAAGGTTACCAGTCATTGCAGAGAGCAAAATATTGTACAATGGGATTCACAGGGGAGAGGAGACTCCCCTAAGAACTTTCCTTTGTCAGTCTCAAACCTGGTGAGTGAAAAGAGATAGAAACAATGCTAGATCTCCAACTCTGGAATCCCACATGGTTCAAGGCACTGCCATTCCAAATTAATCTCCCCCAAGCAATTTCCATTATAAAGCCTACTCCAGGAAGGTAAGAACCGGACGTGAGCTTTAGTGAAGGCAGAAAGCCTTTCTTATACAGAGTCCTGTTCAAAGCTGAATGAAGTCCACTTTTTGCCCCCTGGTACATATACTGTGAATGAGATAAAATGTCCAAGCAGCATGAGCAGAATATCTGTGCAACCCAAGTCAAACAGAACACAACATGGCATTAGCATTATATTTATGCAAGTACAAAACTATAATCCCCATGCTGGCTGGGGAATTCTGGGAGTTGAAGTCCACACATCCTAAAGTTGCAAAATACTGCCGAAAGCAATGCTTCCATAAACATCACTTTAAAAGAAAATGTGTTCCAGCCCTTCACTCCCATCGATGTTCTTATATCCTCTGTGAATTAAATGATCCACAATACTTGTGAGGCATGTTTCCAAGGTATCCCTTTTTCTGTAATGTCATCAGAATAGACCGAGATTCTTAAAAGCTGTAGCACAAATCATATTGCAACTACCCAGATCTGGCCCAATTTAGCTTTAAGAAGTTTACTAGCTGTCTCTTCTTCTTAAAGTAAATCATAGTAATTTGGAAGATCATAAAATAAGCAGGACTTGACAACATTTTTAGAGATAGCTTAAGTGACCTCAGCTGTCTTTAGTTTCAGACTTATAGCATTAAAGACAACTATTCTCAAACAGTGTTTGGCCCTGTTAAAAGACTAAGGCCAAATCAATGCAGCTACGTGGCTAGTTTGCTTTGCAAAGTAAAGACTGACTTGAGTTTCAATTTGATGCGTACTGACTTGAACTTCTCTGAGTTCCAGAGAAATTGGATCATACTCTATCAAAATGATTGCTGACAGGAACTATAATTTCAGGGCTAAAAGCAGGGTGAATCATTCCATAAGTGCTTATAGTATATTTCCTGTGTACCACTATTCTAGTGAAAATCAACCCCTCCCAACCACAGCTGTTGGCTGTTTTAAACAGTTACAGAAACACATAGGACCTGTTTAACACCACATATGACTTATTTCTTAGAACCTTTGTTTTCTGCAATCTGGAAGACATAGCTACCATATACAGGCTGCAACACTCTATAGGAGCACTAGCTGGCAACAAAGAGATAGGATTTATTATATCTCTTTGCTGCCATCTTGTGGTCGTCTGGGTTTTTGCAGCCCAGATACAGTAGCCCCAGCACTTTCCAATGATATGACACATTCCTGAAGATTCTTGGGCTCACTCCTATCTTTCATAGCATGGAGAAACATCAGGAAAGCAGGCTGATCCTGCACACACAGATCTTATTACATTCATTAGAATTTGTTATACTGTATATGAAAACATGTATAGCCAAAGCATTCAAGGCTGTGAAAATGAAAGAAGGGATCAGACTACCACACAAGTGTATTTGGACAGACCAGGGTGGGGAGAATCATCAGCCTGTATCTACTAACCCATTATGGAAAACTTAAAACTCTTTTCCTGAACAAAACATGAAAGATCCACCTGCTTGTATCAGCTGAAAAAAAAAGTGCAAACCAATTATTTCCACACCGATTCCCATTTTATTCATTGCTTGCTTACAGCCTGAACCGCCAAATGTTGTATTTAGAGATGATGTGCCCAAGTCATATTTAACTGAGAAGTCCCACTGGATTCAATATGGCTTGTCCTAGTAGTGTGGACAGTTACCTTAGAGTAAAGCCCATTAAAACAGATTTCGCAATCTTCACAGAAGTATGTTGCCTGCATCCAGCTCTCTAGCAGGGACAGACACATGCTTACCTACAGGAGAAAGTTCCACTATGTTCAACAGGATTTATTCTCAATAGGTACGCATCAAATTGAAACCCAATTATCCTTATTGCGCTGTACAGTCCCTAAAAACAGTATTTATTAGGCAATGCACCCTGCTTTATGTCTGTAAATACCACACATTAAACCTGTCTTGCACAGTTTACGTCTAGAGAGCAACTATGTCAAACAATGGATATCCTAGGTAGTTAAATATTAAATATTGTACAATTCAGCCCACTTAAAAAACGTTGTCATTATGTTTCTGGCGCTGAAGGAGCAAGGCGAGCAGACAATCTCTCCGAATGTTTAACCAGCAACACGATCCCCGCCTCTCTCGGATCCCCGCTCCCTGCCTTTTACCCGACCTTTACTTGAGAAACTTTCCTAAACTTTTAAGGCGCACCTGATACGATACATCACTTGCACAGAACGCATTCGCCTATCTAACCCGGCAGCGCAGAGGCTGAAAAAGCAAAGGCAGCTTCGTTGCAAACCGTGTCCTTGTTTGTTTTTTTTTAAAGGCAGACCCCTTTCGCAATACACACCTAAGCCCACTTGCACAAAACCCGACCACGTGACGCCCCTTGCCTTCGCCGTGTGTGTGTGTGTCTTAATAAGTCCGAGCGGCTACGGCAATTCAATTGGTCCAAAACTTCCTCGCATGTAGCAAGAGGGGTAAATGAAGCGGCGGAGGGCCTGTGGATGCTGTGCGCTGATTGGAGCGCGAGGCTTGCGCGGAGTTGTAAGGCGAAAGGAGATTGGTGGAGGCGGGGCCGCATGTGTCTGGCTCCCCGTCTTTGTATATACAGACTCGCTCGCCGAGCTCTTTAACAATGGGCGAGCGGGGCTGCTCCGCCGAACGGGGCTGGTAGCGCGGAAGCTCCCGAGGGATGCCGCGGCCGCCTTTAACCGAGATGTCCGGG